ACTGGGAACTGGCTACTCGTCCGTCCTTTTGTGTCTCTTCATTCATGTACTGGGAACATGAACTACTTAGTGATTTGCAAGATGTTAGTTCAGACTTCCTTTTTTTTTTGAGGTATCCCTTCATGTATGATCCAACAGGTTGGGTGACGTGCAATTTTAGTTATTACTAGTATACTTGAGGGTATGATCCAACAGGTTGGGTCTTGGGTGGGTTGCTTTCTGCTGTCAAGATGAAAATGATATAGTTGATATGTATGTGAAGATGTTAGAGATTGAGTCTGCCTATAACATGTTTGGTATCATGCCAACTCAAAATGTCCTTAGCACAGCTAACTTACTCCTAACTGTTTTCTACCAAGCCTCGGTCGACGTTATGTTGTGATCCACAGATGTAAGAGGTTGAGTTTGCAGGTTGTGCGGTGTACTGGTGCTAAATACAGTACACACCTTCGATCAATACAACAAATTGATGGCTTTATTAGGAAAAAAAACATTTCATATATATATAGTACATTTGCTGCAACATATCTCATTTATAAGCTCTGCATACACAAGGATCTTCTTTCGCTAGACTAGTTCTGTTACATCTGTATCCATGGTGTGGTTGACAAATTTCGTTACAGAGACATGGCCTATCTCTGAACTTCTTGGCCTGCTGTAATTTTGCTGGTTCAAGTGAACTGTCAGTGCATCATGAAGCAGAAAACCCGAGTCCTCATTTCCATGTGATGCATACTCGATTGTGGCATGAAAAATATTCAGTCAAAAACAGAGTATATGATAGCTTTCGGTGTTTGGAAACTACATGTCCAATATGTTCCAAAAACATACGACAAAAAACTAATATAATGATAGAAATATTCAAATTGATCACACATAGACTTAGGCATTTCTCGTTTTGACAGTGAAGAGAGAATTTTGAAAAGAGATAGTATACAACTAACAAAAGGATCTCATTGCACCAGTCTGATATGAATATAACTAGAAGGGTAAAGCACGCCTTGCGGCGCCGTTTGTTCTCTTTGTGCCAAGGGATCTTTTTTTCTTTACAGCCCAACGAAGAGTTTTTTTTTTTTTGAAAAAGAGAGTTTCCTCTCCGATTTCCACTATCAGAAATCACCAAGTCTTACAAACTACCAGGCCTATTACAGGCCCAACGAAGAGTTATATTAAGGATAAGGCTAATGCTTTATGAAAGTATGTTGTTCTCGTTGTGTTGTCCATTACACACCATCAAACCATCGGTATGGAAACTAACTAAGTTTTGGTACAATCAATGTTGCAGAAAACAAAAGGCATTTCAAATGCAAATTAAATCTGTAGTTGTTTATCCCCTTCTCAGCAATATACAACAGTGATTAACAATAACATGTGTGACATGAAAGCCAACAACCTCCAAATTCCATTCTCTTGAAAGATTGTTGCATGATGCCAGTGTGGACCTTGTTCATCTCCCATCTTGCTCTCCCCCAGTCAAGTAAGGTTGTGTTAACGTTTTGAGGATGGTTAAGTATCATGGACCATGATGAGACTTGGAGGAGCTTTCATACACCAGAAGCTTTTATTTTCCTCGAAGTTCCTGCGAGGCAAACCGATATTGTTTTGGAAAATGACTCGAGTCTGGCTAATCAACCTATTCTGTAACACTTTAGTAGCTAGACTCTTCATAAACTAATGCCTTTTGTTTGCCAAACCACAACCCAGCTTCCGATTCACAATCAACTGAAACATGAATATGCGATATCTAATACTCCCTCCGTTTCTAAATAGTTGTCTTTCTACAGAGTTCAACAAGTGACTTCATACGGAGCAAAATGAGTGAATCTACACTCTAAAATATGTCTATATACATCCGTATGTGGTAATCCATTTGAAATCTCTAGAAAGACAAATATTTAGGAACGGAGGGAGTAAATCTTACACGACATGTGTTAGCTATATCATAGATTCAGAGCAGAATGTACAGGTATTTGTGCAATCAGTGTGACGATATGCATGTAACAGCCTACAATTATAAGTGATCATACACGTGTATGATAAACTGAAACTGAAGCTATCTAATAAGTAGTAACATACAACACAAGAATAAAGATGTAGTTCCTGCAAAGAAAAGAATAAAGGTACAAGAGGTACTTACATGCTCAATTAACCAAAGTACCCAAATCGTCATCACTCATCACATCACATAGTGTCAATTTGCATCGTAATTTATCTCTTTGTCAACAAATCTGACAACACTAAAACTGTGAGAAACCACCTACACCACACAACGCTTTCTAGCATGGCTGACATAGCAAAAGCAAGTGATACAACCATAGTTTTAAAAACCAACTACGATGATCCAACAGAAGCTTTCTAGCATGACTGACATAGCAAGAGCAAAGCTATGCAAATACAACACCCCGCGACCTACCTTTGTTTTGTATAAACGGGTTTGCATTTTTTATGTACAGCTAACATAAGCATTGAGGTGATTGTTGTAGCATTAATCTCTCCAGGTTATATGCATATATAGTAGCAGGAAGCAAGTCCAATTTAAGTATTTATTTGGTAAGCATGTCACCATAAACATACAAAAGCAAGGGGGAATCAGACGTTAGACAATTAGATTTTAGAATGAAATAAGAGACTACAGTTGAAGCACACCTAATCATCAATTATGTAATCTTGCTAAACACAACAAGATGTCTAAATGTTGACAGATCCATACATTGAACATTTATTCGAAGTTATTGTGTTCTAACATGCACACTCGCACCGAGTTTTGCCACTCTGAGAATTGTATGAACTTTTATTCTGAACTAAATTATTTTTCTTATGATTCTTTTGTGGCTCACGAATTCATAAACACATCAACTTTTAAAAAGTAACATTTCTATTTTCTAGAACTACCAAGTAACAGTTCCAGCCATCTTGAGGAATTGGGGAAGATAATCCAACTATAACAACATAAATCTTTATGAATGTAAACCTTGGCAGCCAAACTTGTGATTCACTATAGGTAAAAACTATCTTGGACAACTGTCCCTACATACTGGATGGCAAAAGGTCAGTGTGATTGCTATATTGTTTTAATGATAAGAGGCTTTGAAGACAATGCAGCAACGCACCAAAACAAAAGCTTTTGCAACCCAAACTTTGTCTTGAGCTGAACCAGAAGTGTCGCCAAAAAATGAAATCGTAACATCAGGTAAAAGATGACAGATCGGCCAGAACCTTGCAAAATGAAGAGACACATGTAAAGATTGAATCTCCTGTTAAAATTATATCCAGAGAAAAAAAAGGTAATATGACACATCGACACAAGAAATCATAGTATCTATTTCTCAAACACTAATTAACAACACTTAGATCAGGACATGATGTTATACTATTCTTTAGCCAACAAAATATTACCAATCAATTTCACCAAGGTCGCAAGGGGATGTGGTTGGCAAGTGAAACTGAAACCATCTATTTAGTCGCAAATCCTGCAACACTCTATATATTACTCCCGTGAGCTAAACTATGAACTGGAATCAGTACAGAGCTAGTGCTATTTTTAGAATTAATTTTCCCTGTTTTAGTTTGCTAGCTTCTTGAGTTTAAAGCAAACTGCACCTATAATTATTTATGTAACAAGTTTTGGTTCTTGTTCACATTGTGCACATGCCTCTACTTGTGGACACAAGCCTTATTGATCTACATTACCAGTACCATGCATGATTTCTTACAGTGTAGTGGCATCAGGAAATTAAGTCTGATTTGAATGCTAAAATACGGTAACTTCACCTTTTTATGCCTGCCAAGAAAAAAAAACACTTTCAGCTATTAAAGAAGCAAACTAATGCTAAAATATGGTACAATGTTTACTCAAACTGTTCAATCCTAAGTTTTATTTGATATGGGCCGTGGTCAACTCCGACAACTTAAAGAGTTATCTTCAATAAACAATTATACAAACGTCACACCGTATCCTAATCAACACACGTATGCTCTATACATTATTATGGCTTTTAGATATTGGGCTGAGCTATACTGCTGAACAATAGACACTAAGCGGAAGAAATAATAATGAACACATTAGTTTTGACACGATGTTATGCAGATTAAGCAATCTAACTTGCAATTCCAGAGATAGTAGCTCTATTAATTTTACTTTCCGCGATACCACGAAAGATTGTCATTGTGGCCGCGGTGGTGCAGGTAGGTGACAAAAGTCCAGCCACATAGCAAAAATCTGCAGGAAAATTCATATCAGAACTTTGGGCAGGAAGTAAGGCTACAAATGCAACAAGAGCAGATACTACACACACATGCCCAGTAGGGGACGGCGTATAGCTTGAGTATCTAAAAAGGCCTTATCACGACGGTGAGCCCAACGAGGAGGTCAGCCATGGCAAGCCATCACATCCGTCTTCTCATTCAGCTGGAACAAATCGCTGCACGGGTGTAACTGCGATCCTGACTTCCCTGGACTGCTCGACCACTGGACAGGTTGAACAGAAACAGTATAGTCAGCAATCACATTACCAAGCATATGTGACCTCATGAACAAAAATTAATCTGCAGAAGTAAGCACAATCAAAGATCATGTTGGCTTATTTGGCATCACCAAGTAGAATGGGTACACGAGCATTGGGAACGGTAGCGCAAATCGAAGCTTCCGGGTGGCACTGTCCAGGCTCCTATACAGCTTCTGGGGAAGCTGAAATTTGCAGCAACAATTGATTCAAAACAAGATGACACCAGGTTAATCAAATTCCTCAAGAACATGAGCAAAGTGAGCAGCCACAAATTTGGAATCTATGTAGCCCACGTACCGGATACCAGGACTCGTCCTTCTCAATGTGGCCATGGTTCTGGTGGTGCGTCCAGTGGCTAATCTGGAGGAGTGGAGGATGTGTCTGTTGACGCTGTTCAGTTTGGCATTGTTGGAAGCTCACAAGGCCGCTGCGGCAGCAACCGTCCACGGTGAGAGAGATGGCGAGCTCACAAGCCGGAGACGCACCAGTTGTGTCTTAGGACGAAGAGCGGCCAGAACATGGTGTCCTGTGCGACGCAGTAGACTGGCCAGGCAGGCGGCGGCGAGGGCGACAACGACACAGAGCGACGGCAGGGCAACCTGAAGCCGACGCCTCCTCTCTGATGACCACCGATGCCCTCACCACCTCCCCTGATGCAATGGCCGCCCCGAACCAACCACCAAACGCGAGCTCTGCCGCACCGCCGTCGTCCATCCCCGGAGTCGCACACCGCTCGCCAAAGCCACCGCAGCCGAGCCCAGCCGGCCAGATGTGACCAGAATGGGCACACACGCAGCCAACCACAATGAAGCCTCCACTGCCACTGACAACACCGGCCCGATCTGGAGCATCGAGCCCCCGCATCGGCTGCCGCCACCGCCGCATATCCACCCACCGTAGACACCCACGCCGCCGGCAACACCACCGTAGGCAAGGCCGCAAACCCTACCGTGTCGGGCATCTTCAGCTGCGAGATGCCCGTGGCGGCCCCCACGAGGCGGAGAGAACGGGTCCCGCCGCTGCCGGCTCCGAGCGGGCTTTGCCCGCCGGAGGCTACCGGCGACGGGGAGAGGAGGGAGGAGTCGAGGGGGCTGCTGGCCGGAACGGAGTCGTTGCCGCCCGTGGCGTCGGGAGGAGCGACGTTCGCGGTTGAGCCTCCCGGGGTCCGCCTCCCCGCTGGAAAAAAAATCTGGTACGACCGGGTCGCACGAGGCCAAGCGGGAGACCACCTCGCGCGCACGACATCTGGCAGTACGAATCTCAACGCAGCGTTCGCCTGGCTTCCAGCCCATAGTCCTAGCCATCTCCGGCCCGGCCCCGTAGGCCCACCCAAGCCCGGCCCTAAAATCCAGGGCCTAGGCCCGATGGGCTTGCCCGTGGGCCGGGACTGGGCCTAAGTTTTGAGCCCACCAGCAGGGCCTGGACGGGCTTGGGCTTGATATATTGGCATTTTAAAGAAATGGCCCGGCCCACAGCCCTAAGGGCTTTTAAGGGCTTTTTATCAGATGAGCCGGGCTTGGGCTTAAAAAGTAGGCCCAATGGTAGGGCCTGGGAGGGCTTGGGCCTTAATTTTCTGCCATGGGCTTTTTAAGGCCTGGCCCATGCCCGGCCCGGCCCGTGGCCAGGTACATTAGTAGAAAAATGGTTATTTGTCCCGGTTTATAAGGTTCATTTGTCCCGGTTGTGGAACCGGGACTAAAGGGTCGTTACTAATGCCCTGTACCTTTAGTCCCGATTCTTATAAGAACCGGGACAGATGGGCTTCCACGTGGCCGCTGCGGCGAGCCCAGGCAGGAGGCCTTTGGTCCCGGTTGGTAGCACCAACCGGGACCAAATAAGCGTCCACGCGTCAGCATTTCAGGGACTGGGTTTTTTTTTGAAAGGAGGGGGGTTATAGGGGGTTTTCGGGGGTTAGTTTAGGTGTTTCATATATTGTGTTAGCTAGCTAATTAATAGAGAGAAGTACGTGTCCTTTCTTATCTTCTTTGCTTGGTCGACGCTACGTACTATACGTATAGAGAGGACTCGACACGCTAGCTACTAAGCAAATGAAGAAAACAGAAGATCGTCATGAACGTATGTATGCATACAGAGAGAAGTGATATCGACCTCTTCTTCTCCGAGAGATTGGTCGAACAACAAGTTTTCATATCTATTACAATATAATCCCCTAATTATATACGAACTTAGGGTCCACATGGTATTCTCCGTCTTTAGCGATCACGTGGTCAAGAAAGAATGCCGCCAATTCCTCTTGAATTGAATGCGATCTAGTGGTAGGAGTTCTTCCCGTATCCGAAACACCTAAATTTGAAGAAGGGGATCAATACATATATATGAATGAATGAAATCAACACAAATGATGGTAATAAAATAAAATTGTGAATATTATTGCTTACGCACTTCATATTGTTTGTCAGAGTAGCCCCGCTCACAGGTCATGTGGCGGATGCACTCGCAAACGTAGTATCCACAGTACTTAGTCCCGGCTTCCTGCCACAACCACTTTACAAGAAATAGAGGTCAATCAAACTGATAAGCAAGCATACTAAATGGTATTGATGAAACTAGCGCTTGAATCACTAGGAGATGCGCAGAACTAGGTGGTAGTACTTACTTTCGGGTGTTTAAATTATAGCTTCTTCGGCAGTTCCGGAGTTTTTGAGGTGATTTTTTTTCCAAACCCTGCCAGACAAAAAAACAATTACTTGATATCAGGAGATGAACAAAGTTTAATATCATGGTGCGATAATGGTCGATTTAACTTACTTCTCGAGCATTTCAGTCATGTCCGCATACTTCTCGGGATCTTTTCGTCTCGAGTCGAAGACGGTTACTAGTCCCTGCTCAAGCTTAATCTCCAGGAGAATATAGTGGAAGCTGCGCACGCATGCATAAGGGCATCTCCAGCCGCGCCCCCAGGAAGGCCTCCCCAGGCGTTTTTTTTGCGCCGGCGCCGAAAAATCGGCCCAGTCGCGCCCCTAGGAGCCCAATTTTCGCCCGCTTGGGCCGAAAACAGCGCCGGCGGACCCAGGCCGAACCCGGCGCGCTGGGGGCGCCCGGGGGCGCCGGGGCGAACTGTTTTGGCGCGAAACAGCCGCGGGCCCACCGCGTCAGCGACTCTACCCTCTTCTCGCCCCTTCGTCGTCCTCATCGCCTCGTTTCCCGCGGCGAATCAATGCCAAAGTTGCCGCGCTGCCGCGCCGGTCAGCCTGCGCCATTGATGCCTCACGGGCGGCGCAGTGAAGACCGGATGACGCGCGTCCCCCGCCCTCGCTCGCCCGCCACGCGTACTCACGGCGGCTCGCGCACAGGCGGCGCCTCGGTCTATATAAGACGCGCCCCAGCGCACTCGGCGACTCGTACTCTCTCGCCGTCGTCGTTCCTCCCTCTCCTCTCTCTCGCCGTCGTCGTTCCTCCCTCTCCTCTCTCTCGCCGTCTCCAGCACCCATGGCCGAGCGCTTCCCAGGCGACGGCGCGACGGCGAACGGCTTCGGCCGCCGCCATCTTCACGAGAGCGAGGCTTGCCTCCTTTTCGAGGCCGAGTACCCGGTCCCGCCGGACATGCAGGTATCCGGGGCGTGGAGGATCAGCGTCGGCGGCGTGCCGGTGCCCCCGATACCCACCGGCGCGGCGCGGCGTGCGGAGATCGCACGCATCCACTCATCCCTGCCGCGTGCGGCGAGGAAGGGGCCACGGTACGTCCCCGACAGCCCGCTCTGGGAGCCCTACTTCAGCCGCCGTCAAGCCGAGCAGCTCGAGGCCACCAACGGCGTCGAGCCCTCCGGCAGGCTCAACGCCGTCGGCCGGCGTCGGTGGTGGGGCGTGCCCGGGCGCACGTTGGAGGTCGTCCTCAAGTACATCGAGGGCGGCAACACGCCACGCCTCGAGTACCCCGCTCCCCCGTCCTTCACACGCCACCGGGGAAGCTCCTGGACCCCGAGGCGCATGGAGACCGGGGGGTCCTCCTCCTCGTCCGGCGGCTCCCCCTGCCTCCACCTCTGCCCCGTCAAGCCGGAGCCCCAGGGTGCGCCTGTCAGCGCGCGCACCCGCAGCTCCGGCGTTCGCATCGGCGACAACGCCTCCCCCACCGGCCGCTTCGTCCTCGTCAAGCCCAAGCCGGAGCCCAAGCCGGAGCCCGGCCTTCCCGTGGAGTACGAGGAGATAGCCCGGTGTGGCTTCTCCGACGAGGACGCCCTGCGGTGGGCGCGGGACGACTACCTCCGCGATGAGATGGTCCGGCAGCGCCGGGCCCTGGAGGAGATCGCCGCCCGCAAGCGTGGGCGCGAGGACGAGCACGGCGTCGTGGTCCTCAGCGACGACGACGACGACGCCCCCGGACCGTCCAACCCGTCGCGCCAATCGGGGGAGGGATGCAGCAGGGACGTCGGAGGCGTCGGCGGGGGCGACGACGACGACGGTGGTGACTACACGCGGTTCTACCGCCTCCTCGGCATGTAGAACCGCGTGGGCGGGCGGCGAGGCGGGCGGCGAGGGAGACGGCGGGGGTAGCCCGCGGTAGTTTTTCCCTTTTTTGTAAAGTATGTTTAAATTTGAACGAACTCGCCGATGTTTGCGTTAAATTTGAGTCGTGTTTGCGTCGTATTTGACTTTTTAAAAAACCCGTGGGGGGCCGCGACTAGGGGGCATCACGCCCCCAGTGTGCGGTTTAGCGCCGGTGCGCCCCCAGGGGGCGATTTTTTGCCCCTCCTGGGGGCCAACGGCTAGAGATGCCCTAACTCATCAATTACTCCCTCCGTCTCAAAATTCTTGTCTTAGATTTGTCTAGATACGGATGTATCTAATACTAAAACGTGACTTGATATATCTGTATTTAGACAAATTTAAGACAAGAATTTTGGAACGGAGGGAGTACATTACTATAACCTCGAGTAATAAGGGAAAGCGAATATGCAAAAGATAGTAGCACTCACTTGAAGTTGTAAGGAAAGAATATTATATCTTTGTTTTGATTTAATACCAACGATCGTAGCAAGTTGGCCTCGACCTCTTTGTCATGTTTATCAACCTAATGAGCATCTATGAGATTTGTGTTAATGAACCCAATATCACCGATTTGTTTTTTCTTCAATTCGGCGATCTTCAACCTGCATAATATAGTGAGGATAATTATATATACATGCAATGAAAGAGCTGACCAGTATATAAAGACTTAATGACAAAAGTAGTACTTACAGACAGTAGCAAGTGACCGTTAATTTATCGAGGGTCTTTTAATTGAAAACTCGAAAAACTCCTCAAATGACACGCCACGGTGCATGCATGCATGCATTGCATTGCCAGGAGCAAAGTGCAAGGCAACTCATCCAAAGTGCAGGGCAGGGCCACCAAAGTCGTGTCACAAACCCTAGTCACCGCGCGGGAAACACACACGTTCGCAGCCGAGGGAGGAAGTTCGGGAGGGAAAAGCTGAGGGGACAAGAGCATGCAAACTGCATATGGGAGGGGATGGCCCTAGCTGCATGCCTACTCCTCGGATAGCCTTTGCTTTGCCCACACCAAATCACAACCGGTGCGCGTTCGGAGATTCTACCACCACCACCTCATTAATTGCCACATGCCGTGCCTACTAGGCTACTACGTACATGGCCCCGCAAGAAAGCCTGCAGCTACTCCGAAACAAAAAATAGCTGCTATTACTTGGACTTGATTGCTCTGTTGTTGGCCTCTCAAAACAGTCAGCTAGCTCTTTGTTAATCAGTTCAAGAGAGAAGTTTCTTTTGGCATGAAGAGAAGAATTAGAGGCAAGAGCAGAGACTCACAAACTTGCATTGGATGTGATGATTTAGTCCACGAAGTTGCAAAAGATGATTAACTCATCCACAAACTTGAAATGTATGGGATGATTTAGTCCACAACCAACC